TCTTATCTTCCTCCAATTTCTCTGTTTCTGTCGACTTGTTTTGTTTTTCTTTTTTCTTTTTGTCTATCTTTATTATTAGTTACTCTGCAAGATCTCTAAATCTGAAAAGTTCAGAATCCACACCTGAAGAATACCAATATTCATCTTCAATTCGTCTTAAGTGCAGAGCTGAAAAACCACTCACAGTCTTCCACGTATGTGAACCAAGTCAGTTTAATGCCTCTGCACTGTGTTTTATTTATTAAAACCATCTATCATGATATAATGGATCACACAGAATATCTAGAACTTCTCCTTTACTGACCTGTCAAAGAAAGCATGATCCTACCACCACCATGCTTCACCAGGGCAATAGCTTTCTTTCAACAATTACTTTCTTCTTGCCCTGCTTTCATAAAGGCCATATGTGTGGATTTTACCACACCATGGAGATATTGACTGTTTCTCCAACTAATGCTCTACTTCCCCAGTTTGGTAGGCTTGCAGCTGTGCAATACAATTTCCATTTTTACATGAGAAACATCCAAAGATTGAGACATTATTTTATAGCCTATAACCATTGCTACTTTTATGTTTTTCAGCAAAAAAACAAGTAAAAAAAAATGTTTAAAAAAATTAAAAACATAAACACTGATGTTTGTAGTTTAAAGGTGACGGCACTGAAAAAGATTCAAGTGTCATGAATATACATACGTAGGGCACAATATGTTGGGAATGGAAGTTCATCTTTCTCTGTTCATACCACACTGATAGCTGGTTTCTATGGAGTTATAGAGAAACTGAGAGAGCTGGATGAGACAATCATCGCTAAAATCACGGAGAGAGAACGAGAAGAGACTCCCGGGCCACAGAGAAGCAAAGTGGATGGAAAAGGTTGAAATGAAGGGATGAAGTGGGTCGAGGATGACGCCACATACGGCCCTCGTCTGAAGAGCAGGTTAGATGAACAGCAACAACAAAAAGCTCTCAGATTCAAAGCACTCGCATGCGCCCACTTGCTGTAGTGTTTTTGTCTGCCTCTGTGGTGTTCTACGATCATCACGGTGTACGAGATGAGGATGACAGCATATATGATTTCACCCTGATGCTCTGAATCAAAAGCTTTTATGTTGCTTTATTTTGTGTATTGCAATTTCTTGGCACAGCTGCAACTGAAATAAAGTCAAAGAGATACAAGCTTCAATATAAAATCTCATTTTATGGGTTTGGAAGGAAAAAGTCGACTTACTGGTTCAGGGTTGGGACCCTTTTGTTGCTAGTATTGATCCAAAACATTTCATTTTCAATAATTGCCAATATGTAAACTTGAGCCATTGTTTGCAATCCTCTCAGCACAGAGTTGCACATTACACATCCTAAGTAAAATAAGATTATTAAAATCAAAATTACATTTATGATTTAACATGCCAGTTGCTCTACAAAGGTTCAAAGCTTAAAATGACCAGCTGTCTTACTCATGTCAGTTTCTGTGATTCTGAAATGAATCTCTTGTGCACAATCCACCTACTCCCATGCATGAAGCAGCAGGATCAAAATGTTCATATGGTTTTCGTATTTCCGGCATTATCAAGCAAAATGATAGGAACTCACCATTTGGCAATTTCCTTTCTGCTTAGCGTTTCCTCAAAAGCTTGCTCATATGATCTCCAGTATGAACACCAGTCTATCAGAAACAAATCTATCCAGAGCAAATTGAAGCTGAGCCAAGCAAATCAGGCAAATCACCAAAAAGCCAAATACCTGTAGTTAAGTCAGCCGCATTAGCATCACATAGCAAATCCTCCACGTAATATTAGAGGGAGTGTTTTAATACCTTTCCACCTGGAAAGGTGACAAAAACCTAAATTCCTCTCCACATTGATGAGTTGTTCATCCAGTGTAAAGACATTCTCTTAAAGGGCGTTGCCAAACCTTAACTTTCAGAATTGAACAAGTTGTTTTCAGCCTGTGGCTCTTCCAGTTCAAAAATATCCAAACCACTAAGGTTGCTAGTGTTCAATGAACTGCTTTCATTTGTTGTTTAAAATAGTTTCAAAGCACAGACATGTTTCGTTGGACCGGGTTTGCCTGACGGAAGTAGTGATTTGCCCTTACTTTTTAAGCTGATTTATTTATTTTTTTTATTATTATTATTACAAGCATACTGGGATGTTATTCATTTACTCTCTGTGTTGTTCAGCTGCTAATTTATCTGTTTATGTGTGTGCTGTCAAGTGAGAAGTGGTCTCCAGGGGCTTTTTCACCAAAAAGCAGCAACTGGCTACAACTGGGAACCAACCACATCAGGCAACATAAACTGTGACAAAACAGCACTTTCACATATAGCTGTAGGATTTTACCATTGTTTCAAATGTTCCTATATCCAAATTTATTGATTAAAACTTCAAAAATCCGGTCTTAACTTAGAACGTTGGACTTTTTGGGGGGGGGGGTTTGCCTCTTTACCAACTGTATGCCATCAGTCTGAATGTTCCTTGTTGCTTTATGCAAAAGTAACACACAGAACAAGCCAAAATGCACATGCACACATCATGTGAAGAGGCTCCCTGAAGGGTGAAAGCATAAATTAGGAGAACAAGCTCCCGTTGGTGAGCTAATACCTACCTGCCAGCTTTATTTGGCCACACACATGGCATAGCATCTGTGCTGGTCCAGACTTGCTCTGTCATTTTACACACTCCTTTCTATCTCCGTTTATTTTCTGTGACCTAGAAGTACTTCTTCCTCCCATGGAGACTTCCACAAAAAGCTAAAAAAAGATTCACTTTTTCCCTCTCCTATGGAGGAAAGAGAAAGGGATACATATGGGAGCCAGCCTTAGAGTGTCGTTACAATAGATAATTTAGATGGTATTCAAAAAAAAAGGAAGACTGCCCTGCTAAGAGCTAAGGTATGCATGGTTGCATTGGATGTAGAAATATAAACAGGCAGCTGGTAAGAACGCCGATTGAGTCCCCTTCACTTCTGCTTATGGGAAATAATATGAGAAAGGCTCATTCAAAGGCGAAGACAATGACAAAAAGATATTCTTCAACATGAAAGGATTAGATCAAGTGATCTAAATCTGTGTGGAAATACTGAGCATAATTAAAACCCTCACTGAAAATGTTAATCCTGATTCTCATCTAAATGATAATTTAGTTTTAGACAAGAGACAAGAGCCTCACTATTTTATAAAACGTGATGAATAAGAAGTTAGAGTTTATGTACAGGACAGTCTTCATGGGGAATGAGGTTGTGTTCTGCAATGAGCACCTACTCTTACTGCCCCCTACTTCCATTAAGTTAATGGAACCCAGAATTGCTAACTTTGGTTTTTCTTCAGTGTTTAGAGCTATCTCAGTCCCTAGCCACCTACAAATCTCTGAAAACATTGCTATGTTTGCTCTATTGTTTCTCCCTCCATTCCTCTTTTATAAGTTCAAGTCATGGCAGCATGTCTGCCTGTTGGAGTGCAGACATTAAAATGAATTTACTATGTTTTTTGTTGTTTTCTTTCCTAAAAAACTTAATTAATTATCTTATGTTAAACAGGGAGCCTCAAAACACTTAAACTGGTTTCACACTGACAAAATATTCCCTATTTTTTTGAATGAGAATCGATAAAATGAAACAGAAAATAACAGCATGGTGTAATCCACGTAGTTTTTATGTTCTGCAACATGGCATCTAATTTACTCATAGCAAGGTTAGAAAATTAACAGTGCAAGAAAATAGAAAACTCAAACCACTGCCTGTCTGTCTTAATGACATGGCACAGCTAAAACCACAGTGAAACAACAGCATTGCAAACACTTCAAGTTTGTCCCAAATTGATGAAAAAGCAACAACCAAGGTGGTCAGTGAAGCTGCCAAGAGGCTGACAGTAACACCAAGGAAACTGAAGAAATATCTGTCAAGTACCGTCTGTGTTCTTCTGCATGAGACAACAATATCATCCTTTGTGTCCATTTATCTGAAAAGAGAGGAGGGCTGTGAAGTTGAAATTTTTTCTTACAAGTGAAACATCAAGAATTATCTAAAGTTTCCCTGAGCTTTGTGGGATAATGTGTCACAATTTGTTGAAACCAAATTTGAACTCTGAACCAAAACTTGACAAGTTAAAAACAACATTAAATCATGACATTGTTCACACCCAGGATGAATATATCGGCAGCAGCATCACAATCAGTGGCTTTCAATGTAATCTCATTGTTTTATCTTTATTTGTTTTATTGTTCTCGGCAATCTAGTAAGAGCAAGGATGAATCCATTTTTTTTTTTTTTTTTTTTTTAAAAATTATTTTACCAAGATAAAAAAAAAATCATAGCGATTAGAAACCTATTTTTCTGGTCATGAGGCAACAACAAATACAACACATAAAAATAAAATGACTTGAAGAAATGAAATGTAAGATTTTAGAATGTCTGTGGGGGAAAAACATGTGAAAAGATCTATCAAGGTTCCACTCTCACGGCTCAACAAACCACCCCGTCATTTCAACCTAGCTTGTGGATATGATGCTAACGCACCCTGTCACTGCTGTGACTGACAATAGCAATTATTTATGCAAATAAATATTTACATTTTTTTAAAAAAAAAGCTTAAATTAATTGTGAGATAAAGCTTAATTGTATATCCAATTAGGAGGAAATTCTATAATTCAAGTGCTTGAACCGAATGAGTCAATGCTGAAATAAAATGTAACAAATGTATAAGAAAAATCTACCCTAGAGAGGGCAGGTAGACATTGGACAGGAAAAATTGACTGTCTATTTGTGCATCTGTGACAGAAATGATAATTACTCAATCTAGACAAACATTTCTATTCAGTGCTGCTCTTATGTAGTCTGATTCTTTTTGGTTGCCTTGGTGACATGTGCTTTGGAAAGACAAAACAGCCTCTCTTAAACTCCCAGCCTGTTAACAGACTCATTGTCATCCAGCCAGATGCTCTGGACTGTGAATTAAAAAGGTGAGAAAAAAAAACAAAAAAACATGCAGATACATACAACCATACCTGCCAACAAGGAGGAATTCCCCACGCACCCTTTGTCGCCTCATAGCCATCAGAAGATTACGGACCGTCATGCCCTCGCAGAAACACACCACCACACGAGCTTTGGGCAGACGTTCCTTTAGTTTCCCCAAAAGGCGATCAAAATGTTTCTCTTCGGCGTTGCTGTAGATCTTGTCCGAGTGGGCGATGCACAGGCCCTCTTGAGAGGCCAGCTCCTTGAAGGCCTCCATGCCGCTCTCCCCATAGTTTCCTGAAGGTGATTAATAAAGCAGACATTAGCTGCATTTCCATTAACCACAGAATTCCCCAAATTGAAATTACGCATTTAAAATTGTTTAATGAAAACAAGTCAGTTTTGAGAGAAAAAGAAAATCAGTTTTTTGATTAAAAATCATCAGTTTTTCCGCCAGGATCAGGTTGTTTTTCGGGCGTATTTAGCAAAACTGCAACAGTTTTTCGCACCACCCAAGTCACATGATCAACAGCCGGATGTTGCTGCTGGCGAAAACAACGAAGAAGTCAGCCAGAAGTAGTAGGCGGATGATGTTTGTTTTTGTTTTGTTTTTTCGGACAATGTGCGGCTGGCTCTGCCAGAGCTCTCACAACATCGCACAGTTCATGACAAGTTTTGTGTCATGAATCAAACGTGTTGAATCCCCAGCTCTTCTGTGAAATCGTCAACTACAATTTCCCTCAAAATGCTGCAAACATAGTTGCCCCAAAAAATAAGGGGCTTGTCACTCAGACGCCTGAACAAAACGCCGGCGTCTCCTCTGATAACTGATAGATGAAAAGCGCTAGCTTTACGGGTTAATTATTCATATAATTAATGTTTACATCTGTTTACATCGGTAGCTGCCTTGATTTTTTAATGACTTCACCTGTGATTTTAATTTAATTTCTTAATTAATGGAAACACCGCAATTACAAAATTGTGGCTTTTTTAAATTTACATTAGCAGAATAGAGACAAAGATTTGCACACATTTGTAATGGAAATGCATCCTTTTTTTTTAACTTTAGAAATGATGCCTGAAAAAATCTAATCTCATAATATTACAAATGCTTCATGGCAGGTGTTGTCATCACTGGCACAAACAGGTTAGTTGGAATATTTTTTTTGTTGTTGTTTTTATCTAATGTTAATGTTGTTAATGTTAATGTTAACGTTTTCATCTTATTTTATCTAATAAAATAAAACATCTTTTGAAATCTGCCTTTTGTACTCACTCTGGTGGTTTTAATTTTGAAAGGAAGCAGATTATCAGAGTACAGTTAACATGTTGTTTACAAGTCATATTCTACATATTTATGTGAAAGACAATCAATGTTATGCCTAAAGGACTCCTCTCAGCAGTCTCTCACTGCCTCAATCCTTGACTGACCCAAAGCTCTGATCCACTGATAATGAGAGTCAGACTTGACTTGCTGCTGATTGCAATCAAGCCCAAAGGGGTGAAGACGCCTGTCCCTGTTTAACTCTAAACTGTCCCAATCAAGAGCCTGGCAAAGCTGTTTCTATGTCTAAATCTTCTCCTTCCATGTAGACTGCAACGCTGCTCTGAATTGATGAGAAAACCCACAGCTTCTCAGTCTGAGAGCTGGATTACACGGACAATCCAATCGCTTTGCGTGCAACAGAACACGTTTTTGCATTTGAACAGACATGTCATCATAGGGAAATCAGAAGCACCTTGCTGTAAATATGTGAAAACATTTGTCTTGCAGTTGATGAGTAGCCCCAATTCTTGCAGGAAGTCTATGCCGTGTTTTGCATGAGGACAAACAATCGTGCATCTGCACATGGTGAAGCTTTACATTGCTGCTGAAATAGACATCAGTGTAATTCATTTATGCAGGTCCATAATGCGTCCATGTGTTAGTTTGCCAATAGTCCTTTGATTATATTTTCAATTGCCTCTTTTCATTCTGCTGCAGGTAAATGGAAATAATGATATCCAATTATTTTACTCTCTCCATCTCAGCTATGAGACCGGTGGGTGGCGGTGCATTAGTTGACACCTCACAATGACCAAACAACAACAAAAAACCCGCACTAAGCATTCATCGCCACACAGATGATAATCGAGACAGGTAATTTATGCAATTTCACAGCTCTGGCTGTTGCTACAGGCAACAAGCTGCACTTATAACTTGTCTCGGGTGGTGGAGACAGAAAACTGATGAGCTTGAGCCAGTCGTGACCATGGATTCAAGATGACTAAAGACAAGACAAACAAGGATAGTGCCTTGCGAAAGTATTAACAGCACTTTAGTTATGTTACAGCCAAAGGAGGTTGACTACAAATGCATGCCGCACTTTACAGATTTTATTTGTTATAAAACCTTTTATACTCACTTCACAATTCTGTTCTGCTCTCTGCTGGTTTATCACAACAAAATCTGGTGAAAGACACTGAAGTGTACACACTTCAAGTATTTACAACCCTTGAACTTTTACACGTAATGTGTAAAAGTTCAAGGGTTGTAAATACTTAAATTAGCTCCAAACAATTTCAATCAAGTTTGGAAAATGTCTTATTTTCATGGACAGAGTATGACTTTGCCTCTCTGGGAATTGAGTTAAGGGTGTTACAACAAATTTCAATCTCTTTCAGATTGGTCAAAGGCAACCATAGTAATCTATATAAGTTGAACAAGTTGAAGAGATTTAAAATAAAAAATGTCAACAAATGTCCAAATGTCACTGCTTAGGCAGAAGCCAGTGCTTGTAGCTCAGCCAGTTGCAGCAGAAATGTAGAAAAGTTTCATTATAAAACTCTCATCTGTTGTTTATTTCAAAACCAAGGGGTTAATTATAATTTGTTGAATTTTTAACAATGTAACAAGCGTCTGGCAAATAACTATTGTGATGAAAAATGTTGCTAAGAGCATCGCTTGAATACTTGTGATTTGCGAGTATTCAAATCATAAGTATTCACAAAATAGATCACAAAATAACACCTTCTGTACCAATTATTGATTTCCCAGTGCTGTTCTGTATTGCATTTGATATAAATGGTAACTATTCATTTATGCCAATGTTCTGCAGTTCTTGAATTTTCTGATGGCATTCCCAGAGAAGGGTCAGATACCTGATATCACCTATAGCCCTTCAGGTACTACACTTTCCTAACTCCCTTTGCCATTTAGCAAATGCCAGCCTGCACTCGTCTCCCATACCTAACTATAATAAGACTCCCCAAAGATGTTTTACACTCCCAGCATGTCTGCAGTTCCTTTGGGAGAAATCCTGGTTAATGCAGCCTGTCAGTCATAATTTGGGTGCACATCACTGACTGTGTTTCACCAAGACTTTAATGAAAAGCCACGGACATAATTCATTTCACAGTAATTACTCTGTCTACCCAACCCGCCTTTTTTCTGTTATCTCCTGTCTCCACCACAACATAGGCGATGTGCTGCAAATGAGGAAAAGTTTTCAAAAAGGGTAGAAGCTAATCACAATGCGAGAATGTAAGTGTATTTATGAGAATTTACGTTCAGTTTAATTAATAGGTATTTGATGAAATCTGAAGCAGTTGCATAATTCTTAACCATGTCCTCTCCAAATGAAAATGGAATAAATATTGATGTGTCTATTCTAAAATAGTCCCTCATGTACTGTAGTGCAGTTCTGAAACTTGCCATGGTGGCCATCCTAACAAAGCCAGAGAGTTCACACGTTCTTTTTTTTCCGATTAGCAAAGCACATTAGGTGTGAAGTTGTGGAAACAATAGGAGTACTCTTTATGGTCTTGCTGTGCAGATGTACATGTGAATGTTCCTGCCAAGTGTGAGACATTATTACAAAGAAAATGATATAGAGTTCAACCTCAAAAGGTTGACACAAAAAGAAACTCAGTTGGAATTTAGAAAAAAAAAAATCAAAGTAAAAACTGCTCTGGGGTCAGTGCATATTTATATTGCACCATAAAACCCTGAGGACCTGTGAAGCCTCAACGGCATGTGATCCTCAATATGTCAAAGTGTATGACTCCTCTTCTATAAATATAACAACTAATAGGCTGTTGTGCCACTCCTAATAAAAAGAAATGCTTTGATGAAATGGTTAATTGAAGATGCAATCAAGAGAACCTGGGTATCTATAAACTAGGTATTTTGTTTACTAGCATGTGACACTGGATTATAAGACCCTTTACTGCAGTACAGAGTTGGTCTGTGTCAGACTTTAAAAAGGTTTTTAGGACATTAACCCAGAGCCCTCAGGTTTTGAAACACAAAATATATTTTGAGCATTTTGAAAGCAACATTAGGGTGCTTTAGAAATTTACTTTGGTTCTCATAGATATCATATATAGCCAAGGCAACTATTTGAAAGCAATGACATCATAGTAGTCCTACCTAGTTAACTATGAGCAGGTCAAGACATAACAACAAGCCTTGTGCATGTTTTTTGCCACCTTTGTTTATATATATATATATATATATATATATATATATATATATATATATATATATATATATATATATATATATATATTTCAGTGATTGTATCACATACGATTAATTATGTATTTATTCATTTCTGTATTATTATCAATTGAAATTTTTAACACGTGTATTTTATGTTTGAATCCTTACTCTGGTCTGTCATGAGAATCAGCAGAAGGGTGGAGCTTACACTGATTGGTTTAAAGTTCACTTGATGTTTAGAGTAACCAATCATCTTCCGGCTTGATGGCTTGCAGCAATAATAATTACTGTCCAGAGCACTCCAATACAGGAATTTAAAATTAAATCAATACTGAAAGGATTTAATACATTTTACTGTTTAAGAACATCAGTTTTTAGTTTTAACTTTTAATTTTTACATTACACTGAAAACATTGTAAATTAATGCTTATTTTGTTGAGAGGTACATTGAGATTATCCTTAAATATAACTCATAAATACTTTAGCTATTAGTTGAACTGTAAACATTTTACTAACCATTAATAGATAAAGTACACAATTTAGCGAATTAGAGAGAATTTCAAAGTGATCAGCATATTGCAAAAAGAAGAAATGTTCCAGTTGTGGTTATATGACCACATAAGAATGATAATTTAATGAATTATCATTTGGCATTTTAGGGTTTTAATACCCATCAGTCTGTAGGTTTAAAAATGGACTGAAATAAATCTGGCCCAGATCTCTCAAAAAGTGGATCTGGAGTTGGTGCTGATTTTTCTCACCCTCAGTGTGAACTGCAGACACGTAGGTCCAGTTGTGAAGCTTGACTATGTCCAGCATGGCCCGGGCCTGCAGAGTGTCTGAAGGAACGACCCTTAGGAAGTACTTGAACAAAGTCTTGTCACTCAGGTCGATGCTTGTGGCAGAGTAGGCAATCTGTGGAATATTGAATAACTGTAAAAGGTTTTGCACTTGAATGGCCACAGAGCTGGATCCGGGGCCGATTACTCCTGCTATGGGTTTCTTTGAAGGCGGTGGCTGGTTGGACGGGGTTCCGTCGATGCACCATTTGGAACCGTCCTTATCATCCCGAATCGAGATGAGAGAGTCCCGTATAAACTCAATGCTCTGCTCCAAGGCAACAGAGGAGTGCCAGCAGGAGTCCCGGATCTCACAGCCGAGGCTGATGTTGGGGAGCAGGTGCTGGTCGGCGTTGATGCGGTCAAGCGTGTGGAACATGGCCTCCACCCGCTGGATACCGTATTGCTCCCGGACGTCCCCGCACTTCCGCTCGGCCACCTTCTCGGCAGACGGCTGGTGGTGGACAGAGAAGAGCGCGCCGATGATCACGTCCCCGTCCATGCGAGCCACGGAACGGGACGCGGCGCGGGGCACCACCGATCTCTCGTGGATGCTGCCGCTGCTGTGGGTGATCACGAGGCATGCGGGGAGACACAGGAGAGCGAAAAAACTCATCTTTACGCGTGCCATGTCGTGCCACAGAGCGTGAGCCGTGCCGACTGCGATGGCATATTATCTGCTGTCTGTCAGGGCTTCCACGCTTATCCCAGCCATTACCTGTGGGATTGTTCCTTGGAGTGTATCCGTAGGCACCTGCAGAAAAAAAATCCAGAAAATTGTTGTGATATATGAGGAAAGAAGGTTAAGAGTTTACCAAGCACGCATGTTCTTCTCCACACGCCCTGTTTCACAGTCTCCTATCAGGATGCCTTTGAACAAACCACTTAAATCACAGCTCAATTACGTGTCTCTAATTCTTTAAAGATAATTTAACTATTGCACCTCGTTGAGTGCCAGTGTCATTCATTGAAAAAATACAGAAACCGGATTTCAGCACCACGGACAGCGCGCTTTCCAAACACGTTACAAGGACGTCTATGGGACTGTTGTCTGCACGCATCATCCCCGCAGATCCAAACTCTTCACGGTTTAACCTAAATAATCTATATATACGGAAGAAGAAAAAAATACCACCTTTATTTTAGCACGAACAGAAGCACAAAATACCTTCCCTCCCTCGACTGTTTTCTTATTTGTCATAGATCGTGGATTTTCTTTTCTTTTTCTCGAGAAGTCTCTCTCAATCACCGAATGAAGTCAGGATTATCAATGATATATTATCACACCAGTTGGCTTAATAATCTTTAACCACGAAGCAGAACGTGTCTGGTCACACAATCGCACAGCTCCACGCATACGGATGGTTCTGCTGTGTTAAAACTTACCTCAGTCCTTGGATCATGTCTCGTGCCTTCGTCCGTCTTCTGTGCCGCGTGGTCCTCGTCGGTATTACTTGAGTTTCTCTCCCTCTCCCTCTTGCTCATCCAACTCGAAACATGATAACGAGAACCCCCTCCAGTCCTCTTCCCACCACCCCACTCCCAAGTTCTCCCACCCCCTCCCCCCACTTTCCAGAGCTTTCTTTGAGTCTTTATCTTTAGGATATAACTTAATTAGTTTTACTTGAAGCATTTCCAACAATAATAATTACCCAATCAGAAAAAAACAAAAAAACGGCACCCTTCATGGTACTACTATAGGCAGACTTTCACAGATTTAGACTGCTTAATTACAATGCTGTTCTGTTCAATAAAGTGAATTCAGATTCTTGAAACCAAAAGACAACATGAAATGTTAGGAGTTGCTTCATCCACTTGGATCCCAAGCAACAACCAACAAATCAAAACTCTTTGCTTCATTTGAATGAAGTTTACATTTCATGGATGACCAAAAGTGCCAAAATTCTATAGATAATTACACAACAAATTAGTACTTAAGTTTATGAGTAACTGTTGAAAATTATAACAAATAGTAAAAAAAAAAGAAAGAAATTGTGCAAAAAGTATAGTGCCAGTTTATTCAAAAGCAGAATTTGCAATGATTGTGCTCTTGACCAAGATTAAATACGTTTAATCTTAAATTGATTATCCATCAAAATAAGTAAGCAGGGTTAACATTACTCCAGTCAAGGTGGTCTAAAATGGAGTTGGTGTTATTTACCCAGTCAGGAGTTAGTCTGTTTAATGAGCCAGTCTTTGCACTGCATCACAGAAGTTATAAATATTAATGTAGTTATTTTTGATTTCTTATTTGTTATTGGGGTTCATCTTACATTAACAGATCAAGTAAGGGATAAAAGTACACAATATATTTACAGAAATGTATGAAGCATTGTTTTCTGGTCATGACAACAGCCATTTCCTGTAGAAAGTAGCTACATGCATCGCTCTGGTGTGAATTGGCACATTCTCCCACACAACCTGTATTAAAATCTTGAATGTGTTGACAGTCCAGCATTATGCACTCTGACAATCAGTTCTGTCATTAGATTCTCAACTGCAAATAAGTCCAGTGATTCATTGAGCCATTTTAGCAGTTTTACTTCTTAGTTCTCTCAAATCAATTAAGAGTGTCCTTGACTGCGTGTCTTGTCAAGCTCGTTTCATCAGATTTTGACAGCATCTCATATTTAAATGTTTTTCAATAGAAGTGTTTCTTACAAAGCCTTAACACACCCTACACCATGATGGTCCCACCTGCAAACTTCACTTTTGGCATGAAGATTCTGGGGTGATGAGTGGATCTCTTCTTCCTTCAAACCTGGAGTCAGGTGACATTCCAACGGTTCCACTTTGACCTCATCTATATTCTCCCAGCATTTCACTGGCTTGTCCGAATCTTTAAAGCAAACTTTAATCGAGCTGAAATATGCCTTTTCTGTAGAGGTTTGAGCAGTGAGCATTGACACAACCAATGAAAGCCCTCAGTTCCCTCTCATGTGACGTTTAGCGTCTGCTTGAGAGTCATAGATGATGAGAACTTCTCTGTTCATCTTAAATGTGAGTTGTATTTGATATAACAGACCAGGTGAAGCAACCTTGGTCTGCAATGGCATTCTCTTTTGTCTATAAATCTTAGTAAGCTTTGTAAGAAACACTTCTATTGAAAAACATTTAAATATGAAATGCTGTCAAAATAGTCGACTCCAAAGTAACAAATGAGTCGGTAAATAGTTTAACTTTCCTCTCCTTGGGGACACAGACCCTATACATGAAGGGCTGTGTCGTGACTCACACCAGGCGGTATAAATCACAAATAAACTTAAGAAGTCTGTGTGACACTGTTGCCCGAGGCTTTGGGAGTGATCATCTGTTACTGAACCTGAATAAAAGTGACATGTATGAGAAGGAAAGACTGTTTGGATGCTGTAGACACTCTTCAGGCCAAAGGGCTATGGCTAAGCTTGGTCTATTCTCATAATGGAGTGTGCGTGGGTTGACTGCAAGGCAAATGACTTAAGCATTATAGGCCTATATAATCATCATCATGATGAATTATTGGTAGTGAACATACTTATTAGCCTTAAAAAAACTGTATGAATTAGATGCATTATTCGGCATGTTTGCTATTCAATTTGCAAGTGTACTTTTGAATGTAACAGAGAATTTGATTGTTTCAAAGACATTTTCTTTTCTTCTTACAACTATTTCTATGACTTTGTATTTTCTCTTATGTCAAGAAACCCACTCAGAAACTGTACTTGTTTCTCAGTAAACTACAAGGTTTGAGACATTGTAACTACATTAACAAAACCATAAAAGGATTTAAGTGTCATGATATATTGAGGTTGTAGTGAACCCACACGCAGAGAGGAAGGAGCGTTTTGTGGGTGGTGATGTATTTAATGAAAACAAAAATTAGTAGAACTTGCATACAGTCAGGAGCACACAAAAAAACAGGAATACAAAAATCAGGAACTCAGAGGAGTGTAAACAGGATGTAACAGGAGGAACCAGTGAGAAGTGGAAGCAGGAGAGGTGTATAAATACTGTAAAGGTGAATGCTGGAACAAAAGACCAGGGCTGATTAGCTAATTGATTGAAGGTATGAGGGGAGAGAGAGAAAGAAAATGTCACTGGGGGCGAGGGAGCAGATCCAACTGGAACTAAGTGAATGTAACATTAACAAATAACTAGACACAAGAAATGAACATAAACAAATCAAGAAAGAACTGAGCAAAGCAAAACAGAAACAAGACTGATCACCTATCACCTTGTTCTCTTTGGCCAATATAGTGAAGAAAAGTTTCTAGTTTTCCATTTCTATTACAATATTCAGCAGAATATTTTTTAGTAATTTAACTTTTGGTCACTGATTATTTATATTTAAAAAGTACAGCAAAAGCTAATTGAAACAAAGTGATGTGCTGTATTTACTTGCAGCAACTGTGTTTTGCGCCTTTAACAGTTTTAGACACTTATGTTTCAAAGGCTATCATTTGCAAATGCATCACATTCATTTAAAATGTCACAAAATACCACTTATGAGCTCTATTTGTAGTTTTTTCTGTTTCCATCCGATATGTTAGATGTCAACTTTTGGGGAAAATCCTGACCGAGGGAGATCCATTTTTGCCACATGAGTTGACCACAGCTTTGCCTTCCGACAGCCTTTTTGAAAATTGGTCAACTGCCTCCAAATTGAATGACGGACACAAGGGGTTGTTGATTTTTACTAGCATTTAATTGGACACAGGTACCAGAGGGAAATGTACAAAACAACATGACAATCTATTTTCATGCAGTAAGTTATTAGAAAACAATAACACAATATTTTTACAAAATCTCCATGAATCAGTATCTTGACTTTTGCAAAATGTTGACACAAACTATGGTAAAAAGAAAACATGCTGCCCTCTGCAGAGTGTGGCGTGTAACTGAATAAACCGTTCAGACCTGCTTTTCTCTGAAGGTCTTTCTAGCACAAGAAGATACTGGTTTAAACAGTTTTGCAGCAGTCAGTCTGCTCATCATATTGTTTGGAGCTGTGTATCTCTGCATCTTCACTTGGGCTTATGATATTTGAACTATCCTGAGATGAAGTTTGTTGAATATTTAATGTCTAGTGAAAATACTGTTAAACTGGGTTTTTGACTTAGACATTTTAAGTCAATAAAACGCAAATAAGTTGATGTGAAAATGAACACTGAACTGTGATCAATAGAATAATGTGAATCACGAAGTTGCAAAAATAAAGATATAAATTAATCATGTTTTAGAAAACAAGCTAAAAGTCTTGCAGACATTAAAACCTGTATGATCATTTTTTTTTATTTACTTTCAAATTAAAATATTCCAATAAGTCTGAGCTGAGTATTTCCAAAGTAGATCATATTTCTCTTTCGGGCCTCACTACTTTTTATTTTATGATATATATTCATGTATTTTGCTGACTTGGCAAAGGCCATTTGAGATTCTAGCTGCATTGTTTTTGGTATTTTGGATAATATGTATTGATAAAATACTTATTCTAATGTTTATATATAATATTTTTTGGATGTGACATAATGACAATCATAGTGGCCCCATACGATGGTTTTGTTTCAACTCTTGATGACAAGTGTGCTCATCAGTGCCGTTGATGTGCCCATGAGTCAGCTCCTCCTGCTCCTGGGGGTTTTGTGTTGTGTAGGTGACCCTAGACTTGAAATGTGGCATCTCCCACTGTCAACATTAATGAGCAGGCGTCTGTTCAAACCTTTGTCCTCAAGTGAGAAAATAAATCACGTGCTACACTGCCATCTCCTGTTGCAGCCAGGCTATTACATTTTAGTTTTATAAGCCGTGTTCGGCAGTTCAGTTGTTTGTGGAATGACTTGACTTTTGCATTAACAGAAGAATGCCCTGTACCTCCATGCCATTTCTTACCATTTAACTAAAAATACTAACAAAGCTTTGATGAGTTAATTATACTTGCTTTACGTTTTTTTCCCCACATATGTAAATACTTTTTTAAAAATTAATGATAAAGAAAATTGTAGCTATTATGGCCGTTTTCTCCATTCTGATAAAAACAAATAAACTTGTCCATCTCATAATTATTCTTATAATTATGATCATTACGCATTGATTTGGAAGCAGACACCTAAAATGTACAGGGCAGGTTTACTTGAGGACAAGTTTGAGTACCACTGATATAGTAAACTATACTAATAGGGGGCAGATACAATTTTTATACTTATTTCAGCTCTTTTTCAAAGATCTGGAATAATAAATTCGATGCTACGTTATCCAAGTTTCTTTTCACCGTCGAGTAATATCTCAGGCATTGCAACACTTACACTGTTCAATAAAGTTTCCGAAAGGAAAAAAAAAACGGGATTGCGATTGTGGCTAGGCTAGCTAGTCGTGTTTCCAGAGGCAACTATGCTAACACACGGGTTTACCTCATATATGTAGACAATAATAAGTCGTAGTATGCATTTTCCAGTGAACATGCCTTGAGGTAAGGAAAACCAGCAGTGGCTACATATTTTGCAAAAACGGCCTTTGTTTTGGAATGCTTAGCTTCCGCCTGAGCTAGTTGTTTTTAGCCCACATTAGCATAGTTCAGTGGTATCTATTTCTTGAACAAAAAAAGAAAATGTTGTTGCACAAATATCTATATCAAAAAGTATTTTATTGCTGAAAAAGTTACTTAAGAGGTGACGGTTGCAGTTTAATTTTTTTGTTGACATGCAGCCTGGAAATCCATTTTAATCTTGTAGAAATGTATTGTTTCGGACTGAAATCAGCCGAGCTCCCCAGCCTCCAATTAAAAATCATTTTAATTCCATAGTGCTTTCAAGAATAGTTGGACACTAGTTATGTACATTTAAACTTCAAAATGATTGATATATGCAAACTGAAAAATCTGGTGTTTTGACTTCTGAAATGTCACTGACTATTGATCACAATTTTGAGATTTTAATTGTGATTTATCAGTTTACTTTGTAGGCTAAACATTGTATGTTTCCATTTACTACTTTCATTTTAAACAAACATGTTAGTAAGATATAAAAAAGATTGCCTTAAACATAAATATACCTAAGGCATTAGTACTTAGAGCCCAAATGTATAAATTAAAGCTCTGAAACTTAAGACATGTTGGTGTGCAGTGACAGATTCCACCATAGTTGGATTTACAAATGCAAAATCCAATATAGAAGCTATGTTTTAATTTTGACCATAACCAATTAAAGCTTATAATTATATAATGGCAAGAAAAATCTAAGAATATTTAATAAGGTCACTTTTTTATAATTTGAATATTTTGTTTGACTTTCTGAGGAATTTCTGAAATTAATCATATTTTTTTTTTATTTCTGATTAAAATGTAAAATCATGTATGAACTTACCTTTAATATCAAACAGACTGTGGAACATCAACAAATGTAGAAAATGAGCAATTAAACAAGTACATTGGCGATATAAAGACAGACCGCAGTTGGCTTGCGCCCCCAGAGGTGAGGCACAGCACTGCACTGCCTCTCCTTGGTCTTTAATGTATTTTAAGAGGCAATGTGTAAATTCAGCAATTTTGAGTATAAAAATGTTGAAATTACCAATATGAAAAACAATTTATAGAAGATTAAAGTGGACAAATTGATTTTCTTTTATCATTGTTGGCATGTATTATACTTCTCATGGCCTTGTGTTTATTCATCACAATTACCTCACCTACATCCCCTACCGCACATCGCTGTTGGTGCACCTGTGATGTAGGAGAAGTGTGGAAAATGTGTCATCCCACTCTTCCTGTGTGCTACATGTCTGCCAGACTATTTTTGTTTATCGCCCCTTCTCCCTCTTTTTGTTTCTCCACAGGTTCAAAGTGGAAGCTGGTGCCAATTTGCCCGTGATTGGCTTGTGGGTTGGAGAGGAACCAATCAAGACTCAAGGAAGCAGCTCACCTGTAGGGCTGGCCAATTGACACATATCTTGCTGCTTGGCTCTGTCTGTGGGAAAAGGTTTCTGGTGGGAGTTAGTGGAATAGGTAAGCTTGGGGTAGCCTATACAGAGACTCTGTCAATTTATTGTGGCTGTCAGGTTATTCTCCCCTCTTCAGAAGTGGAGGGATGCAACAGAGATTTAAGCTGTGACACAGCAAACACCATTAGCCATGTAACATCTGGTGGTTGTAGTTCAAAATTAACATTTTACTTGTTTTGCATTTGTTGCCTAAGAGCTGATTTCTTTAACTATCTTCAATGCATTTCTATCTTTGTGTCTTTACATGTCTCACATCACTTGTTCTTAATCATATTAAACATTTTATTTATTTTTACAGAGACACCCAGATGAACGGTTCCACCCCCTTAATTCTGAAGATGGAGAACCATGTTCACTGTATCTCCTGTTTTAACCAGAGATGCATGGCACAGTCTGAACCAGGAGTTTCTTGTAGGATTATCACATGTCCTTTGATGTGTGGGGCTATGTTTCATTCCTGCAAAGGTGATGAGCACCAACTTTTGTGCCCACTCATGAAGGTTCCATGCCTTAATAGCAACTATGGCTGCCCAGCAATTCTGATCCGTAACAAAATCCCTGCACACATGGATGTTTGTCCGGCTGGAGTTGTCTTCTGCCCAGAGAGATGGAACTTGCACCCAACAGAAATATTAGATTTGAAACCTGGTAGGAGATTAGAAAGTATCTTGGATGAGATAAGGAACTATAAAGACCTTGCACTTGCTTTGGAGGACCATCAGGCACTCCTAGAGACCATAGAGGAGATGGGGATGGAAAACTTAACTTACAAAGATTCTGTTATTGAAGAAGCGATACTGTTAGCTTTAGCATTGTCTGCTTCTGAGGCATCAACCGTGTCTTCCTCACTTCAATTGCAGTCTGGTCCAAAAGGAACAGAGGACGTTATGAGTGGAATCAAAGGTTTCAACAAAAAAGATATAAAGGAGAACTGTTCTAGTCTGAGATGTTTGGATGAAAGTGGTGCTCCTGAAAATATCAGTGTATTAAGTAAAAATGTAACCAATGGATCAATGATGGAAACAGAAGCCAATAATATTTCAAAAGAACCTGTGACCCTTCAAATAATATCACACACTTATCCCCCCATTTGTGGTCAGTCATTTCGCCGCGACCAATATCCTTCCCATTATCTAAATATCCACTGTGACTTTCACCCCAACTTCCGTGACCGCATAGAGTCCCACTGTCCTCTGGCATTGTATGGTTGTAGATTTTCCCAGCAGAGGTTGTGGCCATCCACCCACAGGGCTAGGGTGGTTTACCATAAGCACCTTAAGTCATTTGTAATCCTGCCTTCTATCAATGCGGAACCTGCAAAGGACTCCCAGTCAGACCAGTTTAGTGGACTCCCCATTGAGATACTGTGGCACATAGCTGGATTCCTGGACAGTTTTAGCCTCTCCCAGCTGTCCTTGGTGTCGAGGACTATGAGGCAAGTGTGTGCCAGTCTCCTCCCTTCAAGGGGGATAGTAGAGCTGCAGTGGGAGCGAGGACATTTTCCTGGTCATCCTCACACTTTGAGATGGCAGGTCAAATGTAAAGTGAGTAAAAAAAATAACTTGTGTATCTATGTGTTTTAAACAATCACTGTTCTGTAACATGCACCATGGAAGTAATTGTGGATGTACCTTTAACAGCTGCAAATTTCTTTTTTTATTTTTGTGTATTAGTAAACTCACTTATTTTTTACTGTTGCAGGTGTGGAAATTCAGCCCTGCCTTCTGTCCTGTGTACTCGTGGCATTTTGTTGATGTTCCCAGCATGTCGGATCACATGAAGAAGTGTCCTTTTTTCAACAGAGCTGAGCTGAAGACTGAGCCTGTGCCCCTTACCGCCCTGTGCACCGAACAAGACAGACTCTCAGTCCTGCACTGTTATCAGTCCCTGCGTAGCCTCATTGCTTGATCAAGCAAAGCTGATCTTTATGAGATTCACTGTGGAATTATGAGAATGTTGCTAATAAAAATGTCCATTCTTGCACTAAATCAAAATGGAACTCTTATTATTCAGATACCTTTACGCTAAAATGATGTACTAGTCAAGTTTGTAATTTTGAGTCAGAAGAGAGGAGTAGACATCTTGGATTTGTGCTACAAATATGTTTTGCATGAATGGCAGCCTGGGGAAGCCTTTCCAACTTCACACTAATTTCTCATGGATTTTTCATGTAATGCTCATGGCCTTGATATGTAACTACACTTTTTTCAGTGCCCATATTTTTGAAAGGACAGTCTGGGTTTAAAGATAATTACTTAATCTATTAATTGGCCCTAATTCAGTGGACTTGAAGCCACAATTATTCAAGTAATTGTGGCTTTGTTACAGAGGTTCAGGTCTCATCTATCAGATCTGAGTTTCTCTGTAGTCTGCTTTTTCTGGTGTTCCTCAGGGAACCATTTTGGGTGCGTTTTTTTATCTATGTCCCACCCTTAACGCATCAATTTCAGAATTATAACAATTTTGATTTATAAGCTGATAGTAATCAGACTGACATTCAGCTGAAGCTCTTCCATTCCTTTTCATAAAGCCCACTGACTAAATGATGACTTAAAGTATGAATGGACTTTTGTCAACTCATGCATTAAAAAAACTTGGGATAGCATTTGATTCAAATTTGTTTAATTCTAATTTTCTATTCATCTGATAGAAAATCAAAGACTAAAACAATTCACCTGTGTAAACTACAGTAATGCTTCTTTCAGCAATATTGAAATGTGTTTTCCTTTTTCTCCCACTCGATTATATTGCAACGGCATAAACTTCACATTTTGTTAAATAAAGTTTTGAAGAGGGGAGAAAAAAAAACCGGTCGAGACGATGACTGACTGAGAGTGGCTAGCTATCTTTAGCAGTTTCTTCCCAGCGGCAACTACAGTTAATAGACACGTTTAGACGCATTAATGTAGAAACTATCAAAGACGTCATAACACGCCTTTTCCTGTCAATACGACACAGGTGAGAAACACCTGGAACCTCTAACACATTATTTTACAAAAAGTTGTTTTTGTTGTCAACTGCTCAACTTCCGTCCGAGCTAGCTGTTTTTAGCCAACATTAGCAACACTCACTCCGAGCTTTAGCTAGCTTTCTATTGTTATCTTTATAAGTCGATATCGTAGAAAAATGACAGACGACAACATCAGAGTTTATATTAGGTTGATGGATAAAAATATGTAGATTACCGAAACTAAATGTTGCTGTAAACTTTGCTACAGAGCTGTTAGTGGCAACTGAACTTTTCCTGTTGACATGAAGTAGCTCCAATCTATTATTGTCTCAGTTGTTATGAGTAAATTCGCTTTAAAAATGCTGTATTTACTCGATAGCCATCCTAAGATAAGATAAGGTACGATTTTTGATAACTATCTGAATACTTAATTTATAAACGATTTATTTAAACGTGTGGAAATACATTGGAATGTCCTGAAGAAATAGACAACCTTTTAATTTTCTTTAGATAGCTGAGTAGTTATGGCTTTACATTTAAAATTTCTCCCATCTTCTGGTTTCCATATGTTTTAATGGGAATTAATGCATTTATAACATCACTCTGTGATCGCAAGTTGTTTTTCAAGCCCTTACTAACTTTGCTACTTAAAAGTTTTTAGTTGTTGCAATGTTAGATTTATAGAAAATTAATTTGCAGCTTTAAAGTAAAGCAATGTACAACAGCAGATCTATGATCAAACTGCAGTTTTAGGACAGCTTGCAGATTGAAAGGCTCCAATATGGAGCAATCCAATCTCAGTTATTTTGGACAAAATAGAAATTGCAATGCTATGACTGTTTGAGACAGGAATTTCTTTTTTCGTGCTTATTTATTACTGTTTGTCTTTTGGTCAGTAGCATAGTGTTTTGATTGGATTCAAAATTAAAATGCAATTTTGATTAACTGCACAGCACTGCCTTTAAATTTCAAATAACTTATTTAATTTAGATCTTTTTAAAGTTTTGTCTACTTTTAGCTAAATTTATTTTTTTGTTTTACACATGTAATTGGTTGCTTCTCTTAGCTTGGGTTGAACAAGCATATTCATGATAAAAATGTAATTTCATGTAAACTGACTACAACTCTTGAAAATGGATTTAAATCCCCTTTTGTTGTAGAACCTGAGGCATTCTTCTTTATTAATTTTTGTTGCTTATTTATGTTTTCAATCTTGCACATAAAATAAATGCTGATGTTCACTTTCAAATGGCTCTTAACAAAATCACCTACAAAAATTCTCACCAAAAATCCCATTGCATAGACAGAAGTTCCTGAAACCTAAACATCATTGATCTTTTGACAGTGATTTGAAACAATGAGGCATGAATGAGTTAAGTCAGTAGTAGTGACATCTGCTGGTTGCTGTTGTGATAGCAGTCTTTAAAGTCTGAAACAAATCACTAAAACACTGTTTGTCTACTTAATACCAGTACATCTAAAACAATATAAATATTAGAAATATCATGTTTTTGATACCTCATTTCAACAATTGAATTCATATATTCATTACAGGTAGAATTTCATATTTTAACTCTTTATTTCTAGCCATTTTTATGATTGACTTGCATGAAAACCCAAACTTTGGTTTCTCAGTCACTTAGAATATTACAGAAGAGCAAAAAAATAAATAAAATAAACCAAATTGTCAGCCTTTTGAAAAGATAGTTTACTTGAATACACTCAATACTTGATTGGGCTTCCTTTTGCATGAATTGTTGCATCAAAGCAGCTTAATATGGAGGCGATCAGCCTGTGGCTTTGTTCAGCTGTAATGAAAGCCCTGTAGCTGGCACGCCTTTTCTTACTACACTTTTTCCTTCCATTGCACTTTCTATGAATAGGCTTGGATGCAGCATTCTGCAAACAACCAACTTTGTTAGCAATGATCTATTGAGGTCTATTCTCCTTGTGGAGTATGTAAATGACATCTACCAAGTCAAAATGGATTGAGTAAACCATTTTATACAGATATGCTTTTTTTGTAATTTGTAATACTCTAACTTTCAGAGATGTTATATTTTGGGTTTTCATTTAGGGTAAGCTACTATATGATCATCAAAATTATACAGATTTATATATGGTTATATGTGTAGGAGTGTGTAATGAATCTATGTTTATATAAATAATCATTACACACTGCGTATGTATATTGATATTTATATAGATTCAGTACACTATTTTGTAATAGCAGCTGAGTAGTGTTTGTCATTCACAATTTTTTTAGCATATTTGTCTTTTGTCTTTAAAACACATTGTCATAATGTAAATACATCATTTAAATCATTTGAGCCTGACTCTTATCTCTCATAATATTCTCCAACAGAGGCGCCCATATAAACCACTCCACCCCCTCAGTGGCTCTTCAAATGGAGCACCACCATGTTCACTGTATCTCCTGTGTTAATCAAAGATGCATGGTCAGACCTGAACCAGGAGTTTCTTGTGATCTAATCGCATGTCCATTGGTGTGTGGGGCTGTGTTTCACTCCTGCAAAGTTGATGAGCACCAACTTTTGTGCCCACTTACGAGGATTCCATGCCTTAATAGTGGCTATGGCTGCCCAGCCATGCTGATCCGTAACCAGATGTCTGCACACCTGGATGTCTGTCCAGCTGGAGCTGTCTCCTGCACAATGGAGTGGAACAGGTGGCCTGTTAGCTGCTTGAACTACACCTCTTATGAGAGCCTAATTAGCCTGTTGGAAGAGATGGAGCAGCTGGACATGGCGCTTGCACTTCAGGACCAACAAACACTCCTTGATTCGATGAAGATGATTGCCAAGACTCCATCTCCACAAGAAGATCCAGCCACTAGAAAGGAGATTAAAGCGAAACATTTAGCTTCACAGCCGTCTGCTCTTGAAATCTCAACCTCGCAGTTGTCCTCCTCGCATCAATCCCAGTCAGCCCCCAAAGCTTCAACAAAGGAGAAAATTCTCAGTGGGATTAACGGTTTGAAAGAGGAACACCTGAGTAAGTTGTATGAGGCCACAGTTGAGACTGCAAGAAGCTTAGCTGCTGCTCTAGACTTTGTTAGCAATGCCAGCTGTGGTGAAAGTAGCTCAGGAGGTGAGAATGTAGGAGATGTCTTGCTACAAAACAGTTTGGACAGTAATAGAGACATTCAGAATGGACTGGAAGACATAACCCCACAACATGCTGATGGTTTGCACAAAAGTAACATAAATGGGAACAGTTCTAGTCTGAGCCGCTTAGATGAAAATGGAGCTTTTGAAGGAATCAGTAGGCAGAACAAAACCGCAGCCAATGGACCATCGGTGGAGGCAACAAATGCTGATACTTCACAAGAACCTGCGACCCCACAAATTATATCCCCAGTCCATGTGACCCAGGGTGTGGCACAGCGGGCTGACCATGTAGTTCTGGACAATAAAGGGCTAGTTCTTCCAGGAAGTCTTGGACCTGAGAGGATGCTGCCCCTGAACCTCTTCTATAAGGGCCAGGTTCAATATCCTCTAACTAATGGACAATTAGGTGCTAAAGCAGACAAGTCACCGTATAGGCTGCGGGTAGAAATGGAAGACAAAGCAGTTGATACTTCAGACTTGGAGCATGATGATCCTATGGGCCTTGGGGAGATTGATGCAATCCCACCAGCTCTACTCTTCTGTTTGGAAGAGTCCAGGGAGTGTAGAAGGATCTCTGATACGGTCTACATTGATGGTTACCGTGTTGATCTCGGCACGCAGACTTTCACATTTCCTGCGGCAGTCTTGGTGACTAATACAAGAGTGGGCGACATGGCCTCTGTTTCAGCCTGTGACCATGCAGCACCACAGCTCGCCTACCCCAGCCCTCTTCGTACCCTTCGCCTCGGCCAGGTCCTCGAAGCTCTGGATTCAGAGGCGGTCCCATATAATCGTTACCTCCCACCTAACCCCCAACACCAGCACACCTTTCCTTTCTTATGTGGTCAGTCATTCAGGCGGGACCAGTTTTCGTCACATTTCAGAAACATCCACGGGGAGATTCACGCTTGGCTCAGTGGCTGGATAGAGCAACGCTGCCCCCTTGCATATTATGGCTGTACATTTTCCCAGCGGAGATTTTACCCATCTACTCGAGGATCAAAGGTGGTTCACGATAGGCATCTTAAGGCATTTGGGGTTCAGCCCTGCACCAGACTGCAACCTCCAACAGATTCCCAGTCAGACCGGTTTAGTGGGCTCCCCATTGAGATACTGTGGCATATAGCTGGATTCCTGGATAGTTTTAGCCTGTGCCAGCTGTCCCTGGTGTCAAGGACTATGAGGGAAGTGTGTGCCAGTCTCCTCCAGACCAGGGGCATTGTAGAGCTGCAGTGGGAGCGAACAGATTGTCCTAGTGGGATCCGTAATGTGTCGTGGCAGGTCAAAAATAAGGTGAGTTCAGAACTGATTTATCAGTGTTCAATGAGTGTGAATACTTTTGCGAAACAAAAAAAAAACAATCTCTTTATGATCATTCAAATATATTTTACTGTTACAGGTGTGGCGATTCAGCACCGCTTTCACTCCTGTATCCTCTTGGGGTTTCACTGAGGTCCCCAGCATGTCGGTTCACCTTAAGAAGTGTCCTTTCAACGTAGTAGAGCAGAAGACAGAACCAATACCTCTTCCTGCCATGTGTACCGCACGAGATGGACTGTCACTCCGCCGCGTCCTGCGTCATGTCAACACTTGACCAAACAAGGCCGATCTGCATGAGATTCACTGTAGCTTTATGAGAATGTGGCTAGTGAAGTAAAATGGATTCCGATTAGTTTTGATTATAAAGAAGCCTTAATGGGGAAAAAAAAGACTTCAGGTCTGTTAATGGTTTTGAATGTGTAATGAAAAAGTGAGCATTCACAATTGCTTTGCATGGATTTGTGATGAAAGTGCACCTATATTCTGCTAAGAAAACATATTTTGACAAAGATAATTGTGCACAACAGATTTATATTCTCCTGAAGATTAAATATTATTCTGCCTTTCGTATGTATCTATGGAAAACAATACATGTTAAAACTCCATTATTTCTGAATATTATAAACCATGCCAGCACTTTATATTTTAATTCCTTCCAAACTGAACAGTGAACTTTGTCTGACGAGCTTCCGATCATTACTAAGGGTCAAGTTCAGTGTGCATGTTATGGTTAGGTTTATCTGAAGTTTGGATCACAGTTTGATATCACAAAATGACTAATGTACCTGATTGCTGCAGTTTAATAAAGTGTTTACTGACTTTTTATTTTTCTCTAAGGCCTCTTTTAATAGTTCATTTCCATATTTATGCAAGATGTTTGGATAGAAAGCAAATATTGCAAAATCCAGGAAAACGAATCCAAATTCAAGACTGAAGTTACTACCCTTACTTAGCTGAGTACTGTGCATTACAATAACATATTGCAATATATACTTAAGCTGTTTCATTGTACAACTTTTTCAAGGGCAAAATAAACTGCCAAACCCCATCAGTAGTGAGAGGATGGGAATAGGTCAAAAGTGACTGTTACAAATTTCATTTTGTGATTTCTGCCCATAAAGGCATTGAAACATGGGTGACTGGAATTCGGACATAAAATCTGACTATTACTTAAACCTATATTCAGGCTTTTAAATGGATATAGATCACAAGCAAAATAGCGTTTTTAAAGTTTTCTAGGTTTTTGTGCCAACTTACAATTGATTCAGGTGAATCTTGCATAAATAGATGTCAAACATGGACTGAAATATCACATTTGCTAGTTTTTACATTTTCAAAGAAAAATAAAGGTTGTATTTATAATAAAGATTACACCCAGGGTGCTGTTCAAGAACTCCCTCTATTTTTGCCTTTTAGACTTTAGTGTCTTAACCTTGATTTTGTATTTTTGACCATTCCATTATCCCACTCCTACCTTTACAGAGCTTTCTTGGAAACAAACTGGGAGCCAATGAAAGTATTGAAATGTTTCACCTAATTGGCTTTCCAGGTGTATTTGACCTTGTAATGATCAGTCTGCCCATTTAAAGAGTGACAAGTAGTCACTACAGTGTTGTGACTGTGTGTACTTGACAGAACATGACCACAGGAAGCAAAGAGTTATCCCTGTAGATAAGACAATTACAGACAAGCATGTTAAAGGTAAAGGCTATTGGAGCATCTTCAGCTTGTTGCACCCTTTCAAAAGGTCCATTGCAATGTAACCAACCTTCCTGGGATACTAATCATAACCAAAAAACTGGCACAGGGCATCTTGAATCTGTGCAAGGTATGGTGAAGTCTCAAGACTATTAAAGGATTCTGGAGATAAGTGACAAGATTCACAAGTCAATTTGTGTGCACAAATCCTAGACATACATTTTAATTAATGCAATTTTTCCCCCCAAAATAAAAGCAGTTTTTTTTTTACACACAGGCTCTCTGTACATTACAATTAAATGTGCTAAATTATTAAGTGAGACTCAAGTCATTCAGCGATTTTGAGTAGACTTTTAGATGGTTTTCACCCTTGCTAGAAATTGAACAGCCAAGTCGATGTTTTGTCTGAACAGCTGTTTGACACCCATAATGTCATTGACATACTGCACACAGCGAAGATAATACCCTTCAATGAGCATTGTAGAGACCCCGTGTCTTGGGGAATTGTACAGTCAAGACTGAACACCACAAAGCCTTTCATACATGCTTTTATTTTTTAAATATGTGATGAACAATCCCTAAATGGTCACACTGTTTTCTACCACATCAGGGTTCAGATATGTGTAGGGCATTTCCAGTTCTGAATTTCTTGCTGCAATTTCTTCCTTCATGTAGGACAAGTCAGCTTGCAAGACCTTGATGATCTCCTTCGGTATTGGCTCGTCAAAGTGCTCCTCTGGAAATTCACCCAGGAGAACCTGCATGTGCCAGCAGAGAAGCCGCTTCAGAAATGTGAAAACCGAACAGTTTTTGTAATCCATCCTGATTTTCTTACCACATCAGTGTACTTTTCTGAAAGAATCCTAGCAGCTGACATAATCTTGACCGAGTCTTCAACATCTGGGAGAGTCTCCAGAACAGTCTGCATGCTGGACTGCCCCTTTATGGCTGGAGGAGGTTTGCACAGCAGGAGGGAGCCATTTGGTATCCAGGAGTTGTAGTCATACTAGAATAAGATAAAAATGAAGGGGGGGGAAAAAAAAAAAAAGCGAAAGATTCCCCAGACATGAAGGATTTGCCAGTTTTGATTAGAGCTTACAGTCAACTTAAAAACCAAACGCTTTTTAATAAAGATGTTCTACTGAAGACCGTTTGTGTACAGGATGTGCACAGTACTAATGCAGTCATTGCTCCATTGTATAAGGTGATCAGTCTGGCTCTGCTGAGGTATTTCACCAATTTTCTTGCATTTTAGCCACATCAAGTCCATTCAAATTGTGCTAAAATGTACAGTGCAGAAATGGATAACATTTGCCCACCTGGCCATTGTTAACTGCAGCATGCTGTACAGACACTCTGAAGATCACCATGGTGATGAACTTTGCCACTTCCTCAATGGTATTGAAGCATGATGGGAAACCTGTTGCAGAGTCACTGTCCATTATTCTGCAGCAGCAATTTAGCTGAAAACAGATTTTTACCTGAACGTTTGTTCTCCAAGAAGCCATGTGTGAATATCTCGTTAACCCATTCCTGCAGCTCAATGTCCTTCATCACATCACAATCAGAAGTGTAGTAGTAGTCCACCATAGCTGTGGCATATCTGGCAGGGGGAAGAAAAAAAGAATAGCTACAATTGCATTCTGAAACAAGTGCATTCAACAATATGTTGCCAAGTTTACTTACTCATTGAGGTAGTTCCACAGCTTCAGTGCATCATCTCTGTAGTAAAAGTTTGGGATCGACTCCAGTCCTCTTTCTTTGATGTTTTCAGGCAGACAGAGGGAGCTGTAGGTCAACTGAGACAGATCTCTTCTCATAAGCTCCATCAGCCCCTCTACTCCAAGTGAGCTCTAAAAAAAAAAAAAAAAAAAAAATTGTTTTAAAAAAAAACCAAGAGTTTCATGAAAGGCTTCACTAAGATTTTTCCAGTCATACCTCACTCAATGCTCCCCCAGGTGAAAGTAGTAGTTTGCGGACCAAGATGTTTATGTGGAGAGTGTAACGAAAGTGCGGGATCAGCAGCTGTATAGAGATGACAAAACTGAAGGTCAAATAGCTTGAAGAGACCATTGCTTGCTCATCTTTATGAGAGCCGATACCTTATAAAGAGGATGAATGGTTGGGAGACAGCGAAAAGTAGCAATAGTGAAGACTTCTGCTAGATAGTGAGTGTGCAAGAGATGATAGAGCGTCTGGTGTTGAATCAGGTCTGAACTCCTAAAAAACAGCTTGGCCAGAAGCCAATCCGTTTCAAGGTCACTTGGTAGAAAGATGGGGTTCTGCTCAGAGGGTTGTTGGTACAGCTGCATTGAATTGGGATGGAGAGAGAAAAAAAAAAATAACTCAATTTGTCTAATGCCCCCAATTAGTGTCACATTTTTGTACCATTAGCTCCCATTTTGTCTCAAATGATCATTTTGTGTTATTGTCAGTCACATGGCAAGTGACTAATGGAACATGAACATGTTTAAGTGTTTCTCCCTTCAGTAAATTACCTGTATGGCAATTGGCAACAGTTTTCCTTCTGGGTTCTTGTAAAACAAGCACAAACCAGCTGCAACATACAGAGGATTTCCATCTTTCTGTCTGGTTGGTATTCCATCCATTATCTTCTGGTCACATAGAAATATATTGCCTTCCTGTGTGGGGGGGAAACGAGTTGATTCAGTACATTCTTTTCTCCATACATCAAACCTCATTTTATTGAGTGAATACGAATTCAGGAAAACGAGTACAACTGATTTTAAATATTGTTCTTTAAAGACAAAACTGAAGTGCATCAGTATTTAGTTCCCTTTAGATGTTCAGCTCTTAAGCAGTGGTAAAATACAAGTACATTCCTAGTTTAGCACCTAAAATTGTCTAAAAGGTAAAATCCTTCAACACCTCCATCAAGCATCGTTTCACATTTGTCATGAAATCCCTAGCATATGCTCACCTCCATTTCCTTTTCCAGAGTGGTTCCAGTTTCCAGAAAAGGTTTCACCATCTCATCAGTCACTGGAAAGTTTGGGGGAAGTTTGGAGCAGCGCTTGATCACATTGGGGTTGGTTCCATTCAAAAACTGGTATCCAAAAAAGTCATCTTCCTTCCAGTGCTCTGAAACGTACTCTGGAATAATAAAAGTTGGAAACCAAACAGCATAATTCTGATTCTTTAAAATACATTTCTGGATAAAATAAATAAAAAAGGGATGTAAATATTTAGTAAGGCTTCAACCACCTAACATCTTTGTCTTTTTGAACTGGAAGATATTTTTTATGTCTTCAATTTGTTTCCATTTTTTACCAGGTTCAGTCAGTCCCTTCATTGCCAGTTCAAGAGTTCTGAAGAATAGAGCACAAAGCAGAAATCAGTGAACACATACCAACTTCAAGGTATTAGGAGCACAAGTAAGGGGCAACCTGGAATAATTGGCTCACATGAGTTTGTGTGTGTGGTCCAATTCAGACATGGAGAAACGAACTTCTGCCAAAAGCTCAAACACATCTTTGAAGTGACTGATGTGCAGCAACCCATCACCAATGAACTCCCATCTAAAAAACAAAAATTAAGTTGAAAATTTGCACAGATGCAATTCTAGAGAAACTTGACTGGAAACTTACTTGTAAGAGCTCTTTTTCAACTCCAGTTCTTTTTTTCTGTGGTTAAGCAGCAGAGGATGATCCTCTTCCATAAATGTTACTCCTAAGACACA